ATACCTCAATATTCGTTGGTCAACTTAGATGAGGTTCGTTCGATCGGAGAGAGAGGAACTCGAAGAGGACTGGTGATTGTATGGGGGCAGGTCTTCTTATCGTTGACTTGCAAGGACCGGGACAGTTCCTTCATGGAGGTCCACTGAACTTGGCACCTAGTCGTCGATTATTCCTGGCACTAATTAATCTATTCACCTTTCTTCGGACTTGTTTGGGAAGGACCGCACGGAACTTTGATGTTTCCAGCTTTTATGCTTGGTGCCTGGGAAAATGATTATAGACTATTGACATGTCGAAGGTTCATTCCCAAGTGCAAGCATAGGTTTTTTCCGATGATGTTCCGAATAGCAGCAGTTCATCTCTCACAATCGAATGTTTTCCTTTTGCCATCTTGTTCTCAAAATTCCTCTCCATTTGTTTAGAGATCATCATCTAGATATCATCAGAGATCGGAACATCATCTGATCCGTTCTAGATCGAGATTTTTTTATAGCATTTACGTTAAAAAATTAAATTACAAAGACGTAATTTTGCGCGAAATTCGTTCATTCCTCCCCTCTGGCCTATAGTCCCACGGGCTCACACCTTAGAAAGTCCTTGCTAAGAAGGAAAGGATAATATTTTAAAAATAGTAATGATAATGCAAGATAACAAATCATTGCCAACCAGTGGAACAAAGCAATAGAAGGTCATATATTGTAAATTTAGCAGAAAACCTGAGCTTACATACTTATCAAACAACAACATTTCGTAATATACAGGGTTTGTCCGATGAGTATCGGGACTGATTTTTTCCTGCCAATTGGAAGGGATAGAGAGCGTTCTCTATGGGCAGGATTGCTGACAGAGGATGTCACGTCAGCTACCAGACCCGGCTCAGTTGTGTTCAGGCCTTTGCAGTGTGTAGATCGCGCCTGAAGTGAAAGTATGTTTAATGCTTGCATCCAGAGTCAAGATGCAGTGAATCATCCAGCAGCGTTTTGACATCAAATTTTGCATTAAATTGAACAAATCCTCTTCGGAAAGTTTTAATACAATCCGTGAGGCTTACAAAGAGGAAGCCATGTCCAGAACACGTGTTTTTGAGCGACATACAATTTTGCGTTTTTCCCGTTTTTCTCAAAATTGCGTTTTCCCCGCAAATCCCGCAAAAACGCAATCCGACACAAACGTCGAAGATGAGCAACGCGGTGGACATCCAACAGAGACACATATCAATGAAAATGTGTCTAAAGTGCCAGAACTTTTGATCTCTGATCGCTGGATAAGTGTTCGTTTGAGGATTAGTGTCCGCCATGTTCAAAGGGAGATCGCCGATATATATGATATATCACGACAATGCGACCAGTCACACATCGCTTATTGAGAGGGAGGCGCTGGCCAAACACTACGTGTCAATGTTGCCCCAATTATCCTACAGTACAGATGTGGTTTCCCCGATGTTTTTTTGTTCCATGGTATTAAAGGAACCTTAAAGGACATCGTTTCAGAACGATTGACGCCGTCCAAGTGGCTTCAACAAGATGGCTGAACGGCCTGCAGTTGTAGACTTCCAGGAGGTGTATGAAGACTGGAAAAAGCGCTGGCAGCGGTGTGTTAATGCAGGAGGGTCAACACACTCATTTGAAGATTATTAACTAACTGTACGTTTATATTAAACAAATTTCTCTTTATGACTTCAGTCCCGATACTTATTGGACAAACACTGTATATGGTTTAATTTCAAAATTATTTGTGTCGTTGCACAACATAACATAGTAGCCTACTCATTCGTTATATCGTGCCTTATCATATCGCGATTCGGTTATATCGCACTTTTTATGGTCCTCCAAATTTTAAAAGCACTTGAGTCAATAAATTTTAAAATACGAATTGCCATCAAATTTCTTTTCTTTTGCAAAATACGGTATTTTATTTCTATCATTGTCCCTGAAACTACCACTGCAGGTGAAACAATACATTCGTTAAAATTTAAGCAAGCAGAACCGGGGAATAGATCAATTATCATTTATATTTCCTTTTGATATTGAAAATTGTTTATTTATGATTTTAAGTACAGTACTAAGTCCTTTCAAGTTTCTGTGAATTCGAAATTTCATATCTTTATATAAATCCAGGGTATTGCGTCAATTCACATAAACATGTGAAATTTCGAATTTATTGCAAACTGTGTAAGGTTTGTTTGTTTGTTCGTTTTATTAACTTATGGCAACGTAACACTTGGGCGATCTGCCTAGGGGGGTGTCTTCTGGTAGGTGTTTTTAAGGGTAACTGGCCTCCATTCAGTCGTTACAGAGGTGGAGAAAACCCCACGTGGAATCCTGTCCTGGGCCCTTACTCTCGAGTTTTTCGTGTTATAACTTCCAACGTGTAGAAAGTGTCACGTGGTATCATCTCACACTCTGACGTCAAATCGATAGTCTCGAGTTATAACTCGCGTGCTTTTCCATCTCATCATGCGAGTTGCTACTCACGTTGAGTTGAGCATGTGAGATCGCTGCACGAAAGTGAAAATGGCTGACAGATACGCTTATTCTGATCACAATCGAAGCGTTAGAAAGAACCGAAAGAGTTGTTTAAGAAGGCAACGAGTAGATGCCATTTCTTTTCGTGTCAAGTCAACACTAATAAAAGAATTTTAATTTGTAATTAATAAAATTATACGTTTAATTTTTTCTAAACATAAAAAAAAGTATCTAATTCATCGAAAAAGAAAATTAAAATGATAGTAAATTACATGTATAAATTATTAAGAGCATAGACACTATATTAAGATTATTTATTAATCAGAAGTGTGAAGTTCTGGTTAATAAATAACCTTAATAAACAAAGAAATTTAAGAAATAGAAAAAAAACTATATGAAAAAAGGATTAAATTAAAATACTTTTTCCATTACACAACGGATTTTTTAGCTCCAAAAGACAATTAATTTTTCAAGTAATTCCATAAATTGAATTGTCCTTTTATTGTAAATTCGTTGTCGAATTTTCCACTATTCATTTTCTTATTATTCTGTATATATGTTACTAATATTTCTTTCTGTTCTTCACTCATTTTTCAAAATAAAAGATTGGAGGTTTTCATTTTGTTTCTGCGTACTATATTGCTATAAGACAAAACTTTTAGATTTTAACTATAATACTTGTAAACTAATTCATATTGATTTCTTTACAACTTGTTACAGTAAAGTTGATTAGTCGAATCATTATAGTCACAAATCGAGATGCATTGTAAACAATCCCATTGTGCTTATCGACATACGTAAACAAGTGAATGTGACCTATTTCCACTCGCCTTTCGAGTTCGCTTGATGGGTCTAACTCGAGAATACCGATTATGTGAGTCATAGTAACATGACTGAGTTCAATAACGTCAATTCAATTACAACACGAAAAACTCGAGACTAAGGACCCTGGAGAAGTGCGATCCCACGACCGAAGTCCCAGTGTTCAGTGTGCAGATCCACTTGGCCAATGGTGGGTCAAAATGTGTAAATGAAAGATTTCTTTATTTTTGAAAGGAAAGTTCTACAATTTTTATACAGTAGTAACTTTATTTTTCGTTTTAGAAAACGATTACTCTTTGTAATTTTGTAACGTTTAATGTTCTATTATATGTTCAATATTTACACTTTTAATTTTTCAATTACTGTATTTATAATTTTTATTAAAAAATATAAAATACATAAATATTTATTAAGCGATTTATAATTAAATACAGTACTGTGTAATAAAATCGTTACCGATATTTTGATTTTATATCGACAGTATTCGTTTTTAAATGTCATTATTGAAAATACAATAATACTAAATGGGCGTTTCTGGAATTTGTGTTTTTTTAAACGTTATTTAATACGATGTAATCACGAATAAATGTCAATATTGCAAAACTAAATTTATTTTCTATCATAAATACTTGCTTTCGAAAGAATAGAGAATAGAGATTCCATAGCGTGTATGATCTATTTAGCGTAATAAGTGCAGAAAGTTTAGTACTAGGTTTCATTGCGCCTTTGGATATATCGCGCTTTTTCTTGTCTTCTGACACAATATAACAGGAGCTACTGTATTAATAATATTAATACAGTATTATTAATTAATATTATTACAGTATTAATTAATATTAAGTAATATATTAATTAATTCATTAATGTATTAATTAATATTAATACAGTATTAATTAATATTAATACAGTATTAATTAATATTAATACAGTATTAATTAATATTAATACAGCATTATTAAATAAATATCATAAGTTTTGATATATCACAAAATTTTCTTGATAACGCTGTTATAAGTTCATTTAGAAAATCAAATTTCACATAATAAATCACATACTACTTCCATATTACCAAGAGATGTGATTGGTCAACCACTAAATATGCAACTCTACTCACCACCAAAGATCTTGTTCTCTGGTAAAAGCTGCTTTAATCGAACGAGACAAGCGAATCGATCACTGATATTAGTTTAAATTATCCAGTCATGCTAAAGTTTTTTTTTTCAAAAACAAATTGAAATTATTGGCAGATATTAATAGGTTAATTAATTAAAATATAAGTTGCGAATATTGAAGTATATAAATATTACTTATAATGCTAGGTTTACATTACATTACTTTTTATAATGTTGGGTTGTCAATAAACCTATAGTTTATTTACAATTAAGTATTACAATAATAATGCAGGTTTTACTACACTTGAATTGAAAAGTATATTATTATTATTCAGATGTCGCAGATAATGACTTATTTTAATGTATTTTTTGTTATTACAGTATTTGTTTTGTAATATTTATTTTGTTTTTATGTCGGGTAGAAATATTAAAAAAAAAAACACTTAATAATCTTTTGAATCGAGAGTAAGGTATTCTAATTACAATTATATAAAATTATTTCTTAAATTCTTTTATTTGCAAAATATGTATAAAAATATTTTAAACTGATTTAAGCATATTTCCGTGTATAATTTACATAATTTTTGGAAACATTTCGTACAGGATGCTGAAAATAACCAAACTCCACGTGATGATGATGAACATGGAGAAGTCAAAATTTCAGTTTATAAAGCATACGTCAATGCAGGAGCGGGTGTTCTCTTAAAAATTATTTTATTGATAATGGTATTTGTATCTCAATCCTTTATAAGTGCCAGCGACTATTGGATAATCAAATGGTATGCTTTTATTATAGTTAATCAATTTAATTTTTTAGTTATGAATCGTAAAACCACACATCATTTTTTGAATATTTTTGTATTGTATATTTCATATAAAATTTAAAAATCACTATATTCCTAACTTTTCACTTCTTAAAAAAACATCTATTGTACTTTTTTTGAGCACACATGACTGTGATTTTAAATGAAAAAATGTCTGGGTATGCAACACCCAATAAAACAAGAAGCATAGTACAAAATTTTCATTAAAACTACACTATGCTTTGTTTTCTGTTTTACTATATCTGCTTATTAATTATGCATACAAGATATTGGTTTAATATTCGTTTAAATGTTTTGTTGAAATAGTTTGAATTTTTCTAATCACGTTGATGTTTTTGAAGATGTCCATTTATAAGGAAAGATTTTTTAAAGTACAATTCATACACATTGAACACTCAATACATATTTTTACACATTTAGGTACTTCTAGGTCCACATGTTTTGATATATTTTTAAAGTTATATAAGATTTGTTTTTTCATGATTACTCCTTTATATACAAATTATCACCATATAACATGAAATATTCATTAAAATTTTCAGGGTACAACGTATCAATTGTGTCATCTGTGTTTAAGATGTGTTAGTTCGTTTGTTACGATAACTTGATTTCTTTTCTCTGACTTTTTCCTTTGTTTGTCTGTTTGAACACTTTTGTTTAAACAAAAGGAGAAACTAATATTTCGATTATGAGTGAAAATATAAGTATATTAGAAACTAGAAAATCACATACCAATGTGTGCTCCGCGACCGTTTTCAGTCATGTGGCTTTTGTAAAATATTCATTTCTGCATTACAACGTAATTTTAGAATCATGTTGCACAAAATGCAGCTCATCAAAATTATAAAAATTACTTTTGAAAAAACAAGATTTGTAAATTCGAAAATGTTTGTTTATTACAACATACAGCATTATATAATTATGGTGAAAAATGCCTTTGTTTTGTAATGGTATTAAGATTTTCTAAATTACACAGCTGTTACTATGAGCATTTAACACAATGTCGTTAATTGCTGCAGTTTTAGTTGTCCACACATTACCTTTTCAATTTTTTCATTTCTCTACCGATAACTTAAAAGATAACTTTCTCTAAAATTTAAAATAAACATGATGTAAATCAGCGTGACTTGGAATAATTTATGGTGATTAAAATAGTCTATGCGTACTTCAGTTGTGTATTTAAAGTATGGAAAAAAGAAAATTTTCAAGCCTATTTCCGTTTTTATTTTTATAACTTACAAATGCACTTGGAGAACATTCCATTTCCTTCAATATATACGAATATAAAATTTTTGGCAAAATACATACAGGTTAAAATACATAAAACAATTTTCATAATACAAAATACATTATCTAAGTAACAATATAAACTTTCTCTCTTATATGTTACACAATTAATAATATCCCCAAATTGTTTTATGTAGTGTTTTTACAGATAAATTAATATGCAAATCTAAGTTATTTACTAACAATTAAAATTAATTTGTTTCTTTAACATTCTACAATATTTTTTTACATAACAACACTTTTTAGTGATCCTTTCTAAGCTTTTATTTGTTAATTTTAGGGAGGTTTTGAACTTATCAAATTTTCAATTTGCTTCTCCGTGCAAGACCGTATGAGTGCTAAATAGACCTTGCTAACCAAGGAAAAGTAGAAATACCCATAATGTTAAAGTTGATAAAATCCTACTTTTGAATAATAAAAATAACAGAGGATTAAATACTATGATACGCTTTTTGTCTATTCTTGGTATAAACTTGTAAGCACTATGTCGATCTTTCTTTATTACTAGATTTATTACACGGTGTAATAAGTATAGTAATAATGGACATAGTGCTTACCAGTTTATACAACAATGGTTCCCAATTAGTTTTTCTTGCATACCAGTTCAAGAAAGAGCTCAAACTCGCGTACCCCTTATTGCAGAAATTCATATAAATCCATACTTATATTATAAATTTGAAGGTAATTCTGTCTGTCTGTCTTTTACCTTTTCACGTCTAAATAGCTGAACAGGTTTTGATAAAATTTAGCACAGAGATAGCTTACATGTTGGAGATAGACATGGGCTACATTTTACTGAGAGGAAATATCTTACTCCCACGAGAAAATTCGATATAATGCAAGCGAAGCTGTGGGTAGACAACTAGTGATAAATAGAATAAGTTTTTTTACATTTATTACCTTTAAAATACAATTCTAATAATAATGAAAATAACATAAGGTTATTTAATTTTAATGTGACAAATGTGCACGATTTTCTTTGCACAAATTTGTAAAATTTGTTTGTTTTTTAGTCAGCTTCAGTCTCGAGTCATTTTCGAGTTGAAGTCGGTGACAATGTTTAGTTTTCATGTTTGTCATGGACGAAAATCCGCTCTCGCAGTGGTATGTTGTGCAAAATGGTAGTAAATATTTTATTGCCGCTTCGCTGACATAATGTTAATGATAATTGAACAATTAACACAAATTGTGTTAATTGTACAATTTTTGTTTCTTGCGTAAGAATTTCATTTAGGTATTGTCATAAATGAATTTTTAAAATGAAATTTCGAGAATATTTTTAGTTATAGATAGACGAATTTGTGCAATCGACATCATGTTGTAAATTGCCAAATTTTGATGGTTAAATCATTATTTTTTGATTGCTTCATTTTATGCATTTAAATTTTAAATCGACCGATTTTAGATTGCCGCGTGTACAGCTTCATGCAATTTCGCTTACCCCAGGGGTACACATAGGCTACTACTAATTGGGAACCATTGTTACAGAACATTAAATGTAAAAAGTAATGTCAGTAATAAGAAAATTTCGTAATCCATTTAAGAACAATTTTAAACGAAAGTTATTATTTATGTAAAAGTCTTTCAAACTTTTCTTTTTAATAAGCTGTTGAAAATTTAATTTTGAAATAAAATTTTTCTATAATTCTTCTTACGATTGTTATAATTGTAAAAGATATGATGTGTGGAGTCACTTTTCTTTCAGGGTGATACATCGAATGTGTCACCAGATACTTGGTGACAAGATTTGTACTATTGTACTATTGGACATAGGCGTTGCAACATTGCCAAAAACAGGCAATGGAAAACGAAAAAGGACCCCCAATAAAAAGCATAACTGAATACGAGAGAGAGTTCATCCATGTGACAAAGGGTTCGTTCATCTGACGAAGAGTTCGTCCAACCGATGAGTCCGTAATCATCGAAAGTTCGCTCACGCCGGAGTTACCCAAACACTAGGATACTTTACTTACCTATGTGACTTTCTTCCCTCCAAAGATTCATCCATCGATGCATCCTTCCTCCATCCATCCGTTAAATCGTGAAATCCATTAATCTGTGGTATCGACAACGCATTCTTAGATACTTTACCAAGTATCTGGGAATTTTATGTACTTTATGTACACTCTCTCTGTTTAAATTAAAACTCGCGAATTAGTTAACATCGTGGACGTAGTCTTTATTACAAGATAGTTTCTTAAGAAAATAAGTAGCAGATAAGCATGATGTTCAACTCTTCAATGGTAAACCGCATATCTTTTTATTACTTGTAAATAGCTTAATAAACGGATATTTGATACTGTTAGAATTGTGTATGGTGCACTTCCTTAAATCCGTGACGTCTGTCCTGTTGTCTCCATCCCAGATCCAAGTGCCTACAAACGGTACCGCTTGCTTTAAATCGAAATTTGCGGCCATTAAGATTTCTGTGTCAATCCTCACAAACTTTCATCGCAAACGCGTCGACTCTTCGGTCTCCTGGTGTTGAAGCATAGGGGGCGCTTTACGCATTGTCATAATTGTATACTTGATGTATTGGAGATAGTGGAATGTCTGGTTCTAATGTCTAGCTTTCTAGCAATTGATTTTAACATCTGCCTTTTTTTCAATTTGATGAAATGTCAATGACTGGACAGAGTTCACGAATAATTCTATGCAAATCTTATCTTCAATAGCTACAACGTGCATCTTCTATAAATTATATGCTTAAATTTTTAGTGAAATTTTCTATGCATATCATTAGATGTATAGCTTCTACTTTAATATTATTTATGAATAATACTTTTTTATTGCTTTTATTACTTTACTTATATATCAATCTTAACGAAGTACTAAAATGTTTAAACATTAGATGGTTATTTTATGTTTAATATTCAGGCTACAAGATAGAAGAATTTATAGCCAAAGTAAAAAGAAAATAGAAGATATTACATCCAACACAACAGTCTATAACCTTAGTGAAGGCAGAAATTTTTATCAGAGGGACGAATTCAACGTATATGTCTATTTTGGATTTATATGTGCAGTGTGTTTCACCATGTTACTTATGGGTTCACTATTATTGAAATTCTTTACAGCTGCATCTACCAAACTTCACAACAATATGTTCCGTTGTATTATTCGAACTCCAATATCATTTTTGGACAATAATCCTGTTGGTATGTAAAGTATTTAGTAATTTTAAGCTAAAATTCTTCTAACATAATTCAGAAAAAAATTTTTTAGATAAAATTGAAATCATGTAAATAAATAAGGTTGCTCGCAATTCTATTTTAGATGCAAAACTTTCATGTCCTTTATGATATTACAGATATTTGCTATCTGTTATAGAATATAAAATTTCATAAAACTGACAAATTAAGTACCGTTTTACCTTATCACACGCTGTTGAAATGTTTTGTAATGGGCATGAATTTTCACGTAGAATTGTGATGCTCTGTATAGAGGTAAATTACTTCGTGAGTCGCAATAAATTATGTTTTTTTTTGGCTGAAATGTGAAAAAATTTAAACCTAGAAATTTCTACTGTCGTTTGTCTGACTGTCTTTCCCAACTCTCCAAAATGGAATTAGATATATGAAAGTCAAGAACAGATATAAACACGATAACCATAAGCAGCCTTGATTAACTATACACTAATTTTCGATGCACACAAAAGGTTATTTCAATTCAAATGTTTCTCTCTGAAAAGAGTTCGGTAGATGACTGGCAAGATTGCATTGTTAACGAAAAAGTATTATTACACGGGGAAGATTACTAATTTGAGGTAGCAAGCATTTATTTTAAATTAAATAAATTAAAAATATGATTAAAAATTGCAGCCCGGCATTGTGATGATATCACGATAAATTATTGCTTGTTTTCGTTTGTTTTAATGATATCAATATACATATTTTTATATAAGTATATAATTCAATCGTTATTTAATATTCTATATTTTTCAGGAAAAGTGCTAAATCGGTTTTCTAAAGATGTTAATAACATGGATGATACTTTACCTTACGCTTGTTACATGTCGATAACAGTAAGTTTACATTAATTTTAAATATATAAATTTATACCAGTAATAAACAATGTGAGATCAGGGTCGGTAAAACCCTGCTCACTGTGAAGGATGGCTATTAAATGTTTACCCACCATCGTCTGTTTTTACATATGCGATCTTATATTATCATGAAATAATTTGACTTCGTTTTGTCAAACAGACACATTGTTAATTTTTGAAAAATTTCGGTGAACTCATTATTTTCTGTCAAAATTAAAATAATAATTTTGCTCTGCTTTTACTGATATCTTAAACATTGTTTCGATCAGAACAAACATGTTGCTATTATCATTCTCCATATGCAGTACTATTGAACCGAAAACAGCACTATTTTTCTCTTATGTAGTAAAATGTGCTTCTACTGTTCCTGTATATTTCAACCTGATCTCTGTTGTGTAGTCTATGTACTGTGAAAATTGAAAAATACTGTTATAATTATTATTGTATAATCCAACAAATCAATTGTATAATGAGTTTAAATTTTATTATATTTTTTACTTCTATAACCGCTATCATAACGACGTGGGTCATATATTTAAAATAAATATAATAAGAAATATATTACAGGGTTTCTCGTAAATCTGGAACATTAAGATTTATCTTCCTAAGTAATATTAAACTGTTACGGCATTCCCTAAAGGAATGGATGAATAGAATAAAATTGATGTCATATGCAATACACCCTGCAAGCTTCAGTCATTTGAATAATGTATACACACATGGTAAATCAGAAGACTTACAAAGTACATAGTAAATCAAGTCACTTACCTGCCCTTTTATTCTTGGATCTGTTGAAATCACGTCCCCATCCATAGTTGACAACTTCCTGTTGTTTGTTTTATTTGTACACACTCCTTTCTCTTGTTCTACATTCATTATTTTTTTCACACACTCTGACACCTGTTTTTCATACAGAATCTGTTTCTATTTTAGACACTTTTCAGTTGATCGGCCCATCTATATTTAAGTGTTTCAAGCTCTCTTTACTGTAAGCACAGCCTACATACAGCTTTACACCCTATCTTTCCATACTGTCTCTATGTTTCCCAACCAGTGTGGCACCCTTCATGCACAATTGTGTTCTGAATTATGTTTCATAACGTATTGCAACAACTCATCATTGCTACTCACAAGATTTCTCTTTGAATTATAGAGAACGGTCCCATTTGGATGAAATTTAAAATATTTAGTGTCTGCAATGAGTATCTCGGAAGGCTTAAATCTTGAAAAAATTCGGTTGATCGAGCTGAATTTATGCAATTTCAAATTCAGAATTTTTCCACTATCTGCATGATTTGCATCAAATTTTTTATATTTATTCTTTAAGATACTGAGGAGAAACCTTCAGGCTATCACGAGACTGTCAAATGAATTTAGAATTATTTCGTTATTTATTTCGGGAAGCTATTTCGTTATGAATTTATTGACGACTAAAAATTACTTAAAATTTCATTTAAAATAACTGGTGAAAGCAGTTCGTAATACTAAAGCTCAGCAGAAACATGTAAGTAACGGAAACATTCGAAAGTGGTGACATAACAATAATGAAAGTAGATTTGAGTGTAAGGCTCGTGTGAATAAAAAACCTATTACACAGATTACAACTATAGAAATGTCACATAATAATAAATCGAAAAAATAAACATTGTCACAAAAAGGCTTTGAGCTTTATCTCATGTTTTAAAGTTCCTTTACTGCCACTGCTTAAAGATGTGCCGACGTTCAGCCAAATTAATATACTGTACGTGCAACAACTGTAAGGCAGTAGAGCGCAAGCATTTTTCCTTACGACGTTTATTTTTCCGATTTAGTATGGTGGTATTACTGTCAAATCTGCTTTCAGTATTTTTATGCCGTATCTTTTAAATGTTTCATTTATATGAATGTCTTTGCCGAGCTTTACTATTTCAAGCTGTTTTATTAGTTTTTTTTATTGGATATATATATACATATATATTCCATGAAAATGTATATATATATGGTGCCCGTCTCCCACGTTTGCATGACTTCATCGAGTCCGATGTGGTGTTCAGGCACCCTGCACAGGCGGGAAAAAGACGAATTAATGATAAACATGAAAACAAAACTATTTTCTTCTTAATTGAAGTTTTTAGACTATTTACAAAAAATTAAATTTTTCGAGTCTATCTTTTAAATCCCTTATACTCCACCACAGAAGTAACAGTTTAAAAAAAAATTGCTTTTGAAGAAAAACTTCTAATGAAGAAAACACTTCTAAAAACAGGTAAAAATTTATAGAAAATTTCACAAAGTTAAAAATGATCAAGTGCCAGCCTTTTCTTTTAGGTTCTGACACTTTTTACATTAAGACCATAATGAATTCTTCATACCATATTATTTTATCTACTTTTAAACTGCTTCTGGCCCTGTAGTGGTAGTTACGAGAATCTACATTATTTGCATATAGTTACAATTTTTGTGATAACTCAAGATATATAACTCAGGCAAAAAAAATCAAAACTATTTTATAGGGATGTAAAGACTTGTAGGAATTTAAGTTTATGAAGTAATAAAAAGTGATTCTATTAAGAGTAAAGGTGATTTTGATAGAGTGAAGCCTAAACATGATTCTTACAATAGAAATAATAATACTTTTGACAGAAATAAACAAAGGTATGGAAATTATAAATCTAAAGCAAAATGCGAATAAAAATAACATAAAGCAAATAGTTGTGTTGATAATCGTAGCAATAGAATTCGTTATAATTGTGGTTCGAGAAATCATATTTCTAAGTATTGTATTCATAGGAATAAAGGTTTAAAGTGTTTCCAGTGTGAAGCGTTTGGCCATAAGGCTTCTGAATGACCAAGTTCCGAATGCTCAAACTCGAAACCAGAAGCTGCCACTTTAGACATTACTATAAAACCGAAATAGTTTAAAACGATAGTAATTGATGACATAAGTATAAAGGCAGTGATAGACGCTGGAAGTCAAGCAACGTTACTTAAGATATCTGTTTTTGAAAAATAAGCTTTAGGAGGTTATTCCCAATTAATTCTACTTTGAATGGATTTGGAAAATCAGTAGTTGACTTATTAGGCTGTTTTACAGAAAATATTCAAATTGATGATTTTAAGTGTCACGCTGATGTGTGTGTAGTAACAAACGATATAATGACTTATAACGCCATTGTAGGCCGTAATGTTTTAATGCAGTGTGAGACAACGTTAATGAAAGTTATCACAATAAAAATAAAACTCAATGTGTTGAGGATATAAACTGTTCGTCTATCTTGCCAATCGATTTAACTACAACGGACAAAGTCGAAGCAAACATTGTTTTTATATTTTTAAAAGTAAGGTGCAACAATTGGTTTTGGATGATGTCTCACATGAAGTTAAGAAAACAAATGTAAAACTGAATATTTTTGTTAAAAGTCATGAACCGATATTTCATCAGCAGCGTAGATTGCAATTTTCCGAGAAAAAGATTGTCGAGACTCAAGTCGCTGAACGGTTAATAGAGGAAGGAATAATAAAGCCGAGTTCATCAAAATATTGTAGTCCCGTTGTAATCGTGAAGAAAAGGATGGAACGTGTATGCATAAATTAGAGAAAGTTGAACAGAGTAATTGTAAAGGACAGATTTCCCCTCCCATTAATTAATTAAAGATATCTTACACAGACTACAGGGATAACGAATTTTTAGCACAACGATCTCAAAACTGAATTCTTCCAGATCGATGTAAATAAAGATAGTAGGAAGTATACTTCATTCGTGACACATGAAGGACAATATCAATTCATTAATGTTTCCTCAGTGGCGTACCGTGGGTGTCAGCCGCCCGGGGCGGAGGAAAATTTCGACTCCCCTTATTTAGGTATTTCAATTTAAAAGACCAAAATCTAGTTTTGTCACAGAACAAGGAATAAAAAATTCGGTGGTAGTGTAGCGACCTGTTTAAAATAGTTCTATTGGATATTAGTGGTGTATATGAACGCAAATGAATCGTACAAGCAAAATAAAGTAAAAAAAAAGGTCAACAGGTTTCGCAGGAATTCCGCGGATGAAAAAGTTACTAGTTAACCTGGAGAGCCGATTCCCGGACTGTCCGCACGATAGCACTATCAGAGGCACGATGCAAGTATAGATTAGGATGTTTCAAATTTTTACAAGATATTATTATTATTTATTGTGAAATTTTGCCGCCCCCTAAAAAGTGCCGCCCAGGGCGGGCCGCCCCTGCCGCCCCTACTATGACACGCCACTGGGTTTCCTTCAGACCTTGCAACTCTCCCGCTGTATTTCAATGGTACATTAACACGATTTTTCGACCTTTGATTAATGATGGTATTGCATTATCCTATATGGACGACATCATCATTCTGTCTTCCTCGCAGGAAGAAGGAATCAAGCGACTTGAAAGAGTCTTAGGGCTTGCCAGTGATTACGGACTACATTTAAACTTTAGCAGCGATGAATCGTTCCATTCTGATGTATCGTCTGTAACAGACTTCCTTTCATGTCATCAACTAAATAACCAGAAAACGAATACGCTGAATGTATCTTTTGTAACGGAAAATTCTCCGAAGATGAACGAGGGAAAATTTGGATTCAATACTTCAGCTGTTCTCTGTGGGCTCACCTTGATTGTACCGGAGCAGAGAAAGAAAATTATATCTGTGACTTTTGTAAGTAGACTCGAAGCAGGAATGACATGCAAATAATCTTAAAAATATGGTTTATATAGTTAAAAATAACTATGTTTTTGAATTCTAATTAGTTTTTCAATGGTTTAAACCACCTATTTTATATTACCCTCCATTTGTGACATTTTTAAATACATTTTTTTATAACAAAATAAATAGTATTTTTTACAAGTGACAGTCCATTACAATTAGTTATAGTATGTACTCAAGATCATTTTGAGATTTTTATTCAAAAATCAGTAAAGTTATTTTTAAAAATGTAAATGGTATTCCACAATACTCTCCTCTCCTCTACCTCATAAGAAGCTCTTCATATTCTTTCTGCAGTGTTTGACGCCCAGCCATCTATAGTCCCCACATATACAGTATATGTATATTTTCCCTACATCAAGTAAGTAACAATCACACTGCTCTTAAGACTTGTTTTCCAAACTTCTGCCCCAGAGCCATATCATATGGTCTGAAGAATCGTAGTCTTGTACACCTTCATATTTGCATTCTTTGTAAATACACTCTTACGAGTGAACTCTCTTTTCAATCCAACCATTTTCATACAAGTATTACAAGTACTCGTTCATTTTTAATTTCTCTGTCATTCCTCTCAAACGTGGACCAAGCAAATAAACTTTATTATATGCTGTATTGCTACACTGTTCAGCTGTATGTTGTAATCTCATTTCTTCTCTACCAAATTTGATACTTTTCGTTCTGTCTCCATTTATTCTGAATTTTATTTATATGCAAGACTCTTTATAAATACAGCTGTTCACTTTGTCTTTTAGCCATTAGAAGGATATAATCAGCATATAATAAGCAATTAAACAGTTTTTCATTTACTTTTACACTTACTAACTTTCATTTGACTGCCTGAGACAGTTATCCAAATACTTATCATAAGCTGGGAGACTAAATATTGATACATCCTTTATGCGCGCCCACAGTCACACTTACACAGTCCGACAGTTCACTATTACTATAATACATGGTACGATGTTCTCATCTATGCATTTATTGTTTTCACTTTGCAAGCAGCTTTCCACTTACAACAATCCACAATTATTCTTTTTTCACTTGGTCATATGCTTTTTAAACCCATAAAAGTACATAATATTTTATTCATACGGTAGTACTTCTAAATAATCATTTGCGATACAAAGATTTTATCCATACAGTTATTTCATGCCGCAAACTGACAGTGGCATTCCAGATTCCCCCCTATAACACTGTTGATTATTCCGTTTTATATGAATTCCATGTTGTACGAGTCACTTAGATTTTACAAATACGTAAGCCGGGCACAGAACGGCACACGTACTTGTAAAATCTAAGTGACTCGTACAACATGGAATTCATATAAAACGGAATTATCAACAGTGTTATAGGGGGGTCGACTATATTTTTTTTAGTAATTCTCATCATTTTCTCCAATTCAACACGTGTGAATATTTCCTAACACAAGTAACAAATTTACACATCTAATTTTCACATTCAACAATTTTACCTTTCATTTTATACAGTGCAACGATAATGCAAACACTGTTATTCAGATAAGCCAACAACACATCACAACCGTATTTTTGACATTTTATCATATACTCTCGCCCTATGATTAGAAGGATCTTAATAAATAAAAACCATATTCAATTCTCTTATGTACCTGGTGGATAGGTACAAAGACTTGACAACAGTCTCAGCTGACATCTCCAGTTTACACCCATGATTGCGTTCACTGAAATAACTACTCTGATTTGTGAAGTCGCCTGATTGCATTCGATGCTTTTTTGTAACTCCTTCAGGTACATTTCTTTTTTTCTCTTACTATACAGCTGCGTCTTAAATAGTTGGATGATTGTATTCTTACAAGAAGTGAGAATACAATCAACAAACTAGCAACTAGATTCCATCTAGGCGTATAGCCTGATCCTTTCTTTAAGTGAATTGTTTTGTCGCACTGTAATTTGTATACTTTGCATTTTTATGTATATTATTAAAATTTATTATACATTTCAATTTTGTACGTCCTGCCCCTGTCGTACTGGGATTGACTTTGTACTATTTTTGTGCCATGGTACAAACTGTACTAGCTCATTCAGCCAACATTTGGCTGAATCCTAGTAAGGAGAGTTATGTGGACCAAACTTTGCGCCATTTTTCTATCCCTTGTGGTTTTATGTAAACATACACAAATCTATCCAATCTATAAAACGGTGCAAAGTGATTTTATCGATGTTGCAGATAATGTTATGTGACTTCTCTGTTTGTCTCTGCTCTATGGTATCAAGTATGTATCAAGGTTTATAATAAATTTAAAAATACTCTATTTTTAACTATTCTCTTCAATTGTACACAGATTTTTAACATTTATGAACATTCTCATACTCAGCACCAAAATGTCATGCTGAGAGACATCGTTGCTTACATTTAGACATCCTAAGAGTCGATAGAACACACTATCCACTTTTCCAACACATTCTACGTATTCCAAAACACATAACCACTATTATCTTTTATACTCTTTGTATTCATATATCCAGAATAATTTTGACCCTTATTCTTATACTTCTAGAAAGTGTTGAGATCATCCTTAAATGCCTCATCTAATATCTCTACTCTACATCCTAAACACGTTTCTGCTCTTTTTCACGATATCCTTATTTTCACGTTTAAAATCGCTGAACTCAGACTCGTATCCCGCTCTCATATGTATCATAGGCGCAAATTCTTCATTTTTGCTTATAGATTCAGCAACCTCTTCATTTCACCACGCACTTCCTGTCACTCGTTTACTCATCATCACAGTACGACATTCTCTTGCACACTTCAAATCACGTTTCTTAACATCATTCTAGAAAATGTTAGATTTGTTTTACAATTAAAATCGGCATACTCTTTTTAATAAATGTACTTTTTCATTACTGTAATTTGAGATCCTTTGTGCATGTTACTTTTACATATTTGAATATTTCCTTCACTTATTTCTTGCAGCATTTCGTTTTCTATTGTATATATAAGGATGGACTTGTGTAGAAAAATTCTGCGAATTATTAACAAATCGCATGTAGCACATAGTTAACTCGGGCGCTGATCATTGTCACTCATTTCTTCAAATTAATATCTGTAGATATATGGCAATAAAAGTGCATCCCATACTCATATATGTACATTTATACGATCCATCAAGAGAGCCAAAAATAGCCTTACATTCGTTCAAGTCATCCAGGAGATACTCCATGACTCGTTCTTCTGTTCAATTGTACTGAACTTAGTTAGTGCGATTACAATTAATTTTGATGTATATAGAAAATTTTTCGTGGCTAAACGTCATATCATTTCATTTCGTATTTCAAACTGTAAGAAATGTCTGCAGATCACCAATTTATGTATTATGTTTTTAACAATATCGGTCACGAGACTGAACCATTAAAACAACTTTCACTAAAACACAAAATGGTTTTACAAATTTCTAAAATTATTAATAGTTTGTTAACTGTTAAAAAAACTAGAATTTAAAATGTAATTGTTAACACATAAAACAATTGCAAGTACTGTATTTTATATTATTACACGTGTATTTATAAAAATCTTGTTATTCTCTTAAATGAATCTTACTATCAAAGTTTGAACGAATGAGGTTTAATGAAGAAAATATCATTAAGTCAGTTTTAATCAATTAACTACATTAATATACAAATTGTTGTAATAAAAACAATTTGTATTAATGTTAATATTAATATTAATTAATTGGAATAATTAATCATATTGAACTAAAATGTATTTATTAAATATTTTATTATAACATTCTGTATATTTTATTTATAATTAATTTTTATCTGAAGGATTAGTTGAATACGTTAAATGTAATGCTAATAATTATGCTTTTATCTCGAATTATATTTTTCTACGAAAACTGTAAAAGCCATAGTTATTTTTTTCTTTGTTTTAGCATTATTTCAGTAATAAATATTAATAAATAATTTTATTTTATTTCCATTTTAGGTAATTTCACTTGTAGTTGGCATGTGTGTCATTCAAGCAATCCTCTGTCCTTACGTACTCATACTGATATCTGTTCTTTCAATATTATTTTACGCATTTTGGGCAGTGTTTAGCCGAATATTAAAAAGCATAAAACGTATAGAAGGAAAGTGTAAGTATTTCAATGAAAGATATTTTATTGTTTTAACTTAATCGCGCTTAGAACATTGGAAATTTAATTAATAGTATAAGTTTTCTTTCATAACGATCGATAACTACACTATTCTAAGGACTTAAAGTACGATATAAATCGGTTAATGCGATTATTTTATTTTTTCGGCAAATCAATTCTTTAAAATCATGTGTAAAAGACACGTGTAACTAATTGTGTAATCGAGAAAATGCGTTCACACACGACAGGAGTATCTTTTTTAAATACATTTAATGCCATGATTTAAACTTTTCTTTTCACGAATGTCAGAACAAACTGCCAATGTACAATAATGTCAAAGGACAAAATTCTCTCATTATAATTATATTTTTAAAATATTTATGAATGATTTTTCCTTGCAACTGAAAAACTATAATTTATATTCGCTTTATTTATATGTATATAATTACAATTTTTAGTTTACTGAATGGATCACTTTTGCTAGTCATGAAACACTAGATTCAGTAAACACTAGAAAACGTCAGTTAAATATAGAAGTTAATTTACAACATTAATTACAAAATCTACATTTTATTAAGTTTTTACACATATCGTTTTACAACAGCTGTAACTCTAATCGTTTGCAGAGAACCGAGTGATAAGCCGTATATATGATGAGTTTAAGATCTCGTACGAGTCGTGCCGAACGGTCTGCCTCAAATTTTATAATAATTATCTTTACTCCAGTAACAATCATTGGTCTTCACCGCGCTGCAGATCGTTTAGTTTACGTAGACAACATAAATTCGGTCTTATGATAATGAATAACATTTTCCTAACAATTTATTACGTGATAATGATAAGATAATCACATATTATGGGAGAATCGTTACATGCAAGTAGTGTGATACTTACTACTATCATTTATTTAATAGTTAAACACATGATAATGATATTAACAAAAGTAAGTATATATTTCTCTATGGTTTGGTTTTTTCATTCTGAAAATTCTGCAACAAATTATATAAATGGGTTATTATTATTATGTTGGGTTTTGTGGGTTATACTCGGTACACACTGGTGTCTGTGTACTATGCTGGATCAGAGTCAATGCATAGCAACCAAGAACTAAAATTAAATAAGTGTGTCTGTGTCTGTGTTCAGGAATTTTCTAACAATATGGCATGTATTCAATATAGTGGCATTCTGTAGTGTGATGTATGTATTTCTCTTCAATTGTAATGTTTCCAGGCTTTTGTGTAGTGTGTGTGGTATCACACCTGTACAGGAGAGAACGACAAATACAATAAGCAACCTATCCATCTTCCACAGATGCCTTATTTCCTAGGCGAGTTCTGTGTACTTGCTAAATTTTTCAGTGCATGTGTTTTGTACATTGTGAGTGTTTGGAATGGCTATGTCTATAATGTATGTGATTTTATTGTGTTTGTCAATGAGTGTGATGTCCGGTCTGTTGTGATAAATTGTTTTATCAGTGATTATGGCTCTCAGTGATTTCGTGCGTGTTGTTTTCCAATAGTGTTTGTGGAATGTACTTATAGTATGGTTCGTGAATGTCTACCATTTTGTGTTTCTTTGCAAGCTCTTGGTGTATTATATTTACTACTTGATTATGTCTGTGTAAATAATCGGTTTGTGCCAAGCGCTTGCACCCAGAAGTGATGTGTTGTATAGTTTCTGGCATGATGTGACATTTTCTGCATGTGTCATTTGTAAGTGTTGTATCTTTGAGTATGTGTTTTCTGTAGTTATTAGTATTTATGACCTGATCCTATATGGCAATCATGAATCCTTCTGTCTCCCCAAAAAGGCATCCCCGATCTAACCAGCTGTTTGACGCAGTTTTGTCAACAAAACCCTGGGCCAGATCGTAATAATGCCTGCCATGGAGTGCCTTTTGAGCCCACGAATGCTTAATGGTGTCTATGCTGTTTATATGTTCTATTAAGGCTGTATGATGTGAGTGTAGTTTAATGGTGTGTTATTTGAGTCTGCTAGAGTTACTGCTTTGTGTAATTGTGATGTTTCTCGTTTCCTGCAGAAAAACTCTCGCAGTGAGTGTATGTGTTTGTAGTGAAGGTTTATAATGTCAACCAAGCCACGTCTGCCATCTTTAAGTGGAAAGGTTAACCTACTTTGGTATTCTTTAATTAATCTTTGCTTTATTTGTGTATGTTCTGTTAGTTTGGCCTGTTGGAATCCTAAATACTCGTAGAACTCGCCCTCTTCCATGGATTCAATAATTTCTCCATTTCCAAGTGCAAAATCTTCTTTCTTCAGGATTCCTTTTTCTATGTGGTGTTTTGCATTTGTATAAGCCAAACTTTATTTGTATGTCCTTAGTGTATGAGTGTGTGATTTTTAGGAATTGATGAAGTTGTTTTGTGTGGATGCATAAAGTTTTATGTTGTCCATGTACATGAGATGTGACAGCGTAAACTGTGTTGTTTTTTCACGTCTGATATTGTAGCCATATTGCGTGTTGTTTAACATGTTGGATAATGGGTTCAGGGCTAGGCAGAACCAGAGAGGACTCAAGGAATCTCCTTGAAAAATTTCTCGCGTAATGAATATTTCATTTGTTTGTATGGAAGTGTTATTAACCCTGAGGTGCAGTGTTGTTCTCCAGTGCTGCATAGTGTTTTCGAAGAATGCAATGAGTGATGGATGTATTTTGTACATGTGTAGAATATGTAGCAGCCAACAGTGTGGAACACTGTCGAATGCTTTTCTGTAATTTATGTATGCCATGTGTATGTTTCTGTGTTGTTGTGTGCTTGCCGTAGAATTACTGAATCTATGAGTAACTTTTTTTGCATCCCCGTGATTTCTACGGCAACCTTTTTGTTGTTCCGTAAGAATGTCGTGTTCTTCAACATGTTTGTATATTTTGTATGTGATACAGGATGTCAATAATTTGTAGAGTGTTGGAAGACGTGTAATTGGTCTGTATTGTGTGGGGTCTGTGGTGTTGTTGTTTTTAGGTTTCATGTAGGTGATTCCCGAGTAAGAAATTTTGGCATGTCTTGGGATTGACGATGATGTGTGTTAGATGTTTAGCTAGTTCCTGGTGCAGTGATGTAAACTTTTTATACCGGAAATTGTGAATGTTGTCTACACCAGCTGTGTGTTCTGTTAACAGCGTAGCGAATGTCGTGTATGTTTATTTCAGCACAGGGCATACTTGGTATGTTGTGCAAGTTTCTATTCTCCTCTTCGATACAGCCTGCATCAGCATTGTGTGCAATAGCCTTGGACCAACGGGAAGACCAATAAGTTGTGAGTTTTTCTTTTGTTGGTGTGCCACTGTGCTGTTTATCAGTTTTTGTTTTGGTACGGATTTGTCTGTAGAAAAGTTTTTCATTGTTTGTGAATAATTTATTTTGTTGTTTTCGTAGTGTACATGTTTTGTATCGTTTGAGTCTACGTGCTTTGGCTGCGAGTTTTTGTTTTAGTGTATCGATGTATTCTGTAATATGTGTGTTGTGATGTTCATGTTTTGTGTGTGTTTTGATTTTCGTCAAAATGTTTTTGAGTTGTTTCTTTAATTTAGGTGTTATGTTGTTTTTAGTGTATTGTGTCAGCCTGCCTAATTGCTGTCTAATGTGATTTATTTGTGTTTCTATTCTTCTCTGCCAGGCATGCTTGTGATTGAATTCTGTCCTGTGTGTGTCTGTCCGCGATTGTATTTTCAATCCATGGTGTGCCACTACTCTGACTGCCCCAGCATAAACTAATGTACGAATGTCTGAGAGTGTAGAAATTGAATGAATATTGTTTGGTAGTAAGTGATAGTTTACATAATTTAGTGTTTTTCCTACTACCTTTGACATGTTGATTTTCGGTATTCGTGGTCTTTGTGTGGGATCTGTACCAGTATATTTAATGAGTGTTTCCTGAAATATAAGTGAAAGTGTATTAACTAACTCTATGTCCAAGTTATCAATGATGGATGAGGAAGTATCTGTAGTATTATTAATGGTAGTTGTTGTATGTTTGCTATTATCAATGCTTGTTGCTGGATTATCCTGACAGGTTAAGTGATCTTCATTAATAATGTTAAATGTTTCTGTCTGTTGATGTATTTGATCAGCAACCTGTTGTTTGATAAGTTCAAGTATTGTTTGTGGGATAAGATTGTTGTGTATAATTGTTCTTTTTTGATCAACAACTCTTTGTTCAATGACAGTGAGGTGAGGATATTGTTGTGTGAATCTATGGTGNCCTCCCCTCTGCTATGTGTGGGGTCTGTTATGTTCGTCAAGGGGGTTGTACTCTGGCCCAGGTTAGTTTAGTTTGGAATGTGTGCTATGGTCTAACGGACATCGCTTTCTAGTTCTCTCCACTTTCTTTGTGTTACCTTTGACATTACCCTCCATTATATCCAAACCCTGACAATTATAAAAGTTATTATACAGAATATGTAGACTTTCGTTCTTAAATTCTTTTAATCTCAAGATTTTCCTGCTGATTTTCAGGGGCGTGCCGTGACATTTGATGATAGGGAAGCTGTGTTTTTGTAACAAGCCGACTTCCAGGGGCAATCAGTCAGTGACGGTCTAGGGCAGTGTTTTTCAATCTTCTTGAATACGCGACCCCTTTACAAGTTAAAAAATTCTGGCGACTCCCCAGGGCCATATTAAAACTATATCAGTGATTTTAAAAACTACGTATTTAATTTTATTTCCTTAAATATCGATCGAAAAACCAATTGTACTATAAAATAAACAGGCACAACCTTTTCACTGAAATTCTAGTTTTTTTATTGTAGTGCAGGACCTACAAACACTTGTCTTTTTCTTTGACCCGCGGGCCCCCATGTAAGGCTTTGCGACCCGGCTAGGGGTCGCGACCCACAGGTTGAAAAACACTGGTCTAGGGCAGTGTTTCTCAACCTCTAACGAATCGTCGCCCCCTTCAATAAAACCGTTACGTAGTATCACCCCCCTTCAACGTAGTATCGCCCCTTCAATAAAACCGTTACGTAGTATCGCCCCCTTCACTTCAAAATTCCGATGCAGAGGGCCAAGGCTAACGCCAAATTCGTACTGCATCGAATAGACTATTGACTAGTATAATGTTATTTGTTTAATTATTGCACGATATAATGAATAAAATATCTAATTATTTTTAATATAATATTTTACTATATCGCCCAAAAAATTGTTTTTCGCCCCACAAAATACAAATCGCCCCCTCAACATGGAAAAACGCCCACATGGGGGCGATATCGCCCCCGTTGAGAAACACTGGTCTAGGGTCAATTCGTATTCGTTTGTTCGATAAGCCAGTAAAAACCGCAGACTTCTCTGAATGTATTTTTAATTAATAGATTATCTAACGCACTTAATAAATAAGCAAGTTCAATATAATTAACTCTCTTATATTCGATTTAATAGATTCTATACGCCCTCTAAATGCCAATTCTCGCTTCGATAACATCTACTAATTAAAATCAAGGTCTATAAAAGAAGGTCGGGACACGCGTGACCTACTTCTTAAGCCGCCATTTTGGGGCTTTTTGAGTCGCGTGTTTTAAGCAAACTCGTACGAACAGTCAGTTTTATACGACATTAATTCAACTAAAATTGCATAAATCCAGCGATTTACAGTCGAAAATATAATAATAATTTCGGATGATTACGCAACCCCAATTTTATGTAACTTTTGGTTCAAATAGTTTAAAAGAAACAATCATCTATATCATTTTCTGTCGTGATTGAAACTAATTAAATAGGTGCTAAAACTGTTGCAATCACGTATATAGACACTTCGTAAAGTGATGCAATAACATCAAAGAAAATTTAAAATATAATAAAGAATATACATTCAAGTTATCCAAAATTTTATTTTAAAGCATTTACCAATTTAATGCATTTAAAAAATAAATACTGGACTAACGTTTAATTAATGAACATTTTTGGCTTTACAAAGGCTTAAACGTCATATTTTCCTAATTACATAAAATTTAATCAAAAAGGATAATATTAAACATAATTTAATGATATTTTTAACAGCTTATCTGAGACATAACTTCTTTCTCTGTAAACACACAAGATACAAATGCTAATTTACATAAAATGATTCTTTATTCTTGTATAAAAAGCAATTTCACCAAGTCACATCACAAATAAATAATCAAAATTTAAACAATGAAATTATTTATGGAGACAAATGAGAAAACATTTTTCAACTTCACTTTACAACTTTTTTTGTTCAATATGCAAAACATTATCTACATAATCATGATAAGAATCACCTGCAATGTCTTTTATCCAAGTATCACATTGATTTTTTTGAGAGAATATGGATAAGTGTTTTATAGTTATGATGATAATATGTATTTCAAAAGAGAAATAAGTGAAGATATGATAAAGAAATAAGTTTTCTATGTGATTTAAAGTATAATTTCAGATCAAAACCACACAGATAGACAAATATTTAATATTTACTCCATTCCTTCCTTCCAAATGGAGTATGTTTTGTGTTTCCTTATGCATATTTAAAAACAAAATATTTTTAATCCAGAAGACTTTAATTTTCAAATGTCAAATAAAAATAGGATATGTCACATAGTGTATTATTTTCATAGTAAATATATAAAACACTATTTTTGGAGGTCAGCAGAAGTACGCATAAATGAACTTTTGCTTCCATACAGTTTTTTTATACTTAAAGTACTGTTCATATCTCTGGCAAAAATATGTAATCTCACTGACAGAAAAGTTGAGATTAACAAATCCTTGATATTGTGTTGACAAGAATTTTGTATCACTTGAGTTACCAACCTTGAAGTGAATTGTAACAGATTTTCCTTTAAATTGTATTTGTTTAGGAATGAATTAATATGCTTTCTAAATGTTTTTTCACTTTCCCAAACAATGTTGAATGCAATCTCTGTTGGATGAACCAAATTACCTTTACTTAGAGTAGTGGTCCATTCATGAGGTAATGTTAAAGAAGGCGTTAAAGAAGGCTCTACGGTACAAATAGACTGTATGCAATTATTACAAGTAATTATTTTTGACTCTCTTACAAGCTTATGAATTACCCATCCTGCTAAGTAATAAAGTCCTGCCATCTGCAATTCATTTAAAGACACATTACTAGGACAACAATTAGATTCTAATTCTGAAGGTTCCTGTAATGGTTTTGTATTAGAAAAGAATTCTAAATAGTATTCATCATCATCAACATTGTAAGATGATGAATTAGGCATATGAGTGTATTGTGCAATACTGATCATTTTAATAACGTGTCTAAATTTTACAGGTGTAGGATGGCTATCACCCGTTTCACGAATTTGTGAAAATAAATTCTCAACACAATCTGTTGATAATCTGCTTGTAATCAGATAATCAATTAACTGTCTAGAATGAAGTTCCTCAAAGAGTTCCAGAGCACTTCTAGTTGATAACTGTAAACCAGTCTGGATTGATTTCCAATGCCTTTTCCCTCTGAAACTTAAGGTTGGGAACCACTTTAAAACTTCCTTCAGATGTTAATTTTGTCAATGTTTTTTCTACATAAGGAATCATTTTTATTTCTACTAGTCATAACTTCAAACCAACTGTATATCTGATTAATGAACCAACTAGTAGCTATGGCTTCTTCAGGCATGGTTCCAATTGATATACAGAATAGCAATGCAGATGAAACTACATTTGAAAACAAATGCCTCACAAATGGAACTCTCATCTTTTCAAAGGTGCTAGGATCAATTACTTTCCTTGATAATTTAGGAGCTATAACAGGCCCACCTCCTTCTTGTTGTTTTATTAAACATTCAATATGCTTCATTGAAACTATTCCTGACTTTAATCTTTGTTCTGATACAACTTCATCAGGTAAAGAAATATTTTGGGTCAACAAACAATTTCTTATATTTTTTAGTATGTGAGGGACATCTGCTACAAAATATACATTTTCTTCTTGGGTACAAGGATGCACAATTTTACAATTAACATGATTTCTAATAGAATGGATTCCAATAACCCCCCNATCTAAATTTTTATATATATAAATTATTATTGTATAATTTTGCTTGCCATCTTTATGCTGATTGTATATAAGTGCTTTTTTGGGAGATAGTTTTGCTCCCCGCACGAAGGAGTGTATTTAGTATGCGCAATAATAAATAAATTGTCTTCCTTGATAATTTAGGAGCTACAATAGGCCTGCATCCTTGTTGTTTTATTAAACATTCAATATGTTTCATTGAAACTATTCCTGACTTTAATCTTTGTTCTGATACAACTTCATCAGGTAAAGAAATGTTTTGGGCTAACAAACAATTTCTTATATTTTTTAGTATGTGAGGGACATCTGCTACAAAATATACATTTTCTTCTTGGGTACAAGGATGCACAATTTTACAATTAACATGATTTCTAATAGAATGGATTCCAATAACCCCCCACATACCAGTGTTGTTAGAGCCCATGTCACTGGTTACACATTTTACAAGAAGTCCTTGTAAATACAAACTTTCTATTACTTTTTTCACAAAATTCCATAATTTGTGAGAATTAATTGAATTGCATGTTAACGCATATGCCACAACTTGTTTCCAGTGCAAAGTTAAGCCTCTTGCAATAAAAACAAGAGCATGTGTTGCAACTACAGGTTCATCAGAATCATTGAAATCTGTACTTACTAATCCAACATATCTCTTTAAGCCTTTATCACATTCAATATGTGGCCTTAACTGCATTTCATCTAATATTCGTTTGTTTTTAAAATAGGAATATGGAAAAACTCCTTTTCTTTTTAATAATTCTTTATATAATCCAGACGTTTCCCTTAATATATTATCTTTATTTATACAGGCTAGGTGTAATTCACTAAATTTTTAAAATAATTATTCGAGAGATACGTGTGACTTTTGTGTTGAGAAAGAAATTGTGGATGCCTGGCATATTTTGGCTAAATGTGAGCGTCTTAAAGTGCTACATGAAGAAATTTTTGGTTGTGAAGTCGATACAAGGTCTTTATTTCTTAAAATTTTATTGGTACCATGTTATCAATTTAAAGTGTTTTGTTTTCTAAGAAAATCTGTTGATTTTTTTGTTTTAGGGGGCGTGATTTCTCTACTATAAATTTAGCCTTGTTGCTGGTGTTGTTTGGGAGCATCTGTCAGTGCTGTATCTTCGTTATTAACTTATTTCTTTTTTNCATCACTTTCTTCAGTTGTTTTTTCTGTCACGGCAAGGTTCACGGAAGACTCCACTAGAGCTATATAAAAAAATACATTATAAGTCAAAACATGTTAAAATAAATATTTTTTCATACTATATAACATTTCTCGCAAAAACAGATGGAATTGAACATACAAGATTTTCAATAACAGCCAATTTACAGGATAAAACACCGAGAATACTCAAACAAAACAGCCATCTTTATTTCAGATGAAAAGAGAACAGTTCAGCAATTAAATAATCTTACCATTGGTTTTTCTTTCTTCAGGAAGTTTTCTTTCCCTAATAGGCCTCCTTATCGTAATAGATTTAGGAGGATTGGGCACATTAAAAATTGTGGGAATCGCATTCCATTTTAGCAGCTTCCTTCCGTCAGCTCTTTTCAGTTCAAACTGCGATTCTTCGAAATGAAGCTGAACAACAAATAATTTAATGTGAGCTCACTATACATTTCAAGACAGTAACTATAGAAAAATACATGATATACACTAACCTCACACAGTTTAGAATGTTCAGTTGGCTGCCACTTATCCCGTCTGCAGTTCTGCACCCATTTCGCTCTCCTCTGCTTATCTGCAGGAAATCTGAACAATCGAAAGTCGGTAGACTTACTTTTACAATTAGGTGCAACACAATAACCTATTGCTTAACGTTTTGAGTACGTATATAAGTAATAATAGCGACTAACGTAGGAACCACGTATGGTGAGTTCTATCGATGAGTCCCAAAATGGCCGCTGCCGCATAGAATCACGGGAGCGTGTCCTGACCTTATACAGACCTTGATTAAAATATATCTATTAGCCGTAACTATCTCGTTATAATTTTCAATATATATTTTATATTGTGTACTAATGTTAAATTCTATTCTATTTTGATTTCCAAATTGCTTCAATTTTACGAAAGATTCTCTTTTAACAATGTTTTCTTTTTCATTATACGATCTCGAGCCAAAACTGTTTTAAAATAAATTTTCAATATCGCAATTACATTCTAAATCACTAGCTATAAGGGCTAAAATTAAAAATAAAATTATAAAAACTTACTTGTTAAAATAAAATGTGTGATGGATATAGTACAATTATACATACCTGGTACAAAATATTCGATTGTATGAATATAATTTTGTGAAGAAACGTACATAAAAATAGCATAAGATATTCTTTACTTTTTAAATATTAAAACAATCCACTTAGTTAAAAGTGCTCCCTATCAGTGACTCGTGGATGGAATCAGAGACGATCTTGGTAGGTGTGCCGTGCGGCAGATTAATTTGTGTTTTTAATTCTTTGTATAGAAGAAATTGAATTATTGTTCAAATAATAAGTAGGCGTGTTGAATCCGTATATATCATCGTCGATGTAAACAGTTTCTATTTTGCAGTCAGATAATCTAAATGTCATA